CTCACAGGTGCCGCGGCCGCCCGCCCACCCTGCCACCAAGCCTCTTAAGCGCCATGTAGCCTTGATCGAATTTTATTTGCTTCTTCTGATCTTTACCCGCACCCCCTTCCTGGTTGTTTTCATCATAACAATGACTGATTTTCTTTTTATTCCTGGCGGGTTTAAAACGCAACCGTCAGTGTTAGACTGAGTCACTTTGCGAAATTGCTTATTCTGTTGTGTCTTCACCAACGTGGCAGGTTAAGACATCCCTTGATTTATTATGCCTTATTTAAAATCACTAACGAACTTGTCTCTAGTGGGTACAGAGATCAGACGTTGGCAACTGTAAGAAAGCAGGAGTGGTAGGGTGGGGGTAGGGAAGGGTAAAAAGGTAAGATTTAACTGCTATTTGCAAAGCTCAAAAATGAAATAAGTATATAACCCAGTATTCTTTCTAGGGAACTTTGAGATCTACAAGAGATCATTCATTGTAAAAACACTGCAAAAACTTAAAAGCATGCATTAAAGGACTCCTCAAAGTCGTTCAATTCTATTTTACTGCATTCCCCAAACTCACAAAATGGTACCACAACCACCACTTTGTTAAATTAGATTTGGTCCTTTGCTTCCAAGAAAATTACAATTCAATAATCTTAGGGTAGCCGGCAAATAGATGTGGCCTCCACTGGTGAAGCAAATGTTAAAAAAAACATCAAGGTAGCAGAACGAGAAAAGAGATTCTGCAAAGGACAACTTTCAATCTTATAAAATGCATTAGAGGGAGGAAAACCTGTTGCACTGCTATTGTAGAAGCAAGAATAGTGATGGTTAGAATTGACAGTAATGGGGGGGGGCAACTGCAAAGTACCGCCTTAGCTCCAACTGACAGGAGTTACCTTTCTTTACTAGAGTGATAGATGGTGGAGATAGCTCTAGTGGCAAACCAATGAAAGCAATACCCACTGGCTAGCAGCAGTACACATCTTTAGAGACCCATTTCAACCTTAAAACACACCAAGTAGTGTCAGCTTTTAAAAATGTCTATTTTATAATAAAACTTATGTAGACGGGACATAAGAGAAAAAATTTGCCTTTTTTAGTATCACGGCAGGAGTGATGCATTTTCTGAAAGAGCTTTCAATGACCACACTTTCCCAGTGCTAATAAAAAACCAGTTTACACAAATATACATGCCAATTTCCAAGCTGAGATCAATTTCAGTTAGTCACTGTGATCACAATGAGCACAGAAAACAAGTTAGGTCAAATGACTACTTCATATCTTCTATCTCTGAAAACAAACAGATCAATAAATATATAAAAAGTCACCCTATTTCTAGTATATTTAAAATTTGCGGGAGAAAATATTACTGCATGCACTGCAACATATACAAAATGGTTGGTATTTTTCCACCTTGCATGTGAACATATTTTAAGTGTATTTTTAAAAGAATCACACTGAAGCCTGGGGGACTTAAGGGTGATTAGTGATCAACAGTAGACAGCTTATCAGCATTTCCAAAAGAAATGCGCTAAGGTTGGATTTTAGGAGAACCTACAAGTTGGGCAATCTACTTCCGTAGTGATTCTGCCTCGGAAACCCAAGGAGGGCTCGCTATGCACCGGGTCCGACTTGACAGCACAAAACAACAACAACAACACTAGCAACAGTACTCAAAACAGTTACTGCTGTTGAGTTGGATCCAACTCATAGGGACCCCTCCTTGGGTTTCTGAGGCAGTACGGAAGTAGACTGCCCAATCTTCCTTCCGAGGATTGGCTGGTGGATTTGAACCACCAGCCTTCTGGTTAGCAGTCAAATGCCTTAGTCAAATGCCAGAACTCATGAATATGCTACTGAGCAATACCTGAAGGTCAGTGTGGAGGTGGGGTATTCATAACAGCAGAGAAATTGTAAACGGTGAACTCAGGAGAAGAGAATTAGAACCTTTGTATGGAAACTTGTGCTTCTTAGGCTTAGGAGCAGCATGGCTTGCAGGCAAGTCCGTGTTTTTCTCCTCTCCCCTCCCCCTTCAGCAACCACCCCCACTTCTACCATCCCCCCACCACTACTACCCCAAGGGAAAAAAATCCAGACACACACTCACAAGAAAGGAAAACAAAACAGATAAAATGCTCAAACATTTGGTTAAAACAGGTAAGAAATGGCAAGAGATAGCATGAGGCAAGTTTAAGGTACATGCAAATTCTAAGTATTTAAACACAGGACTTTGAGCTGCTGTGTTGCCACTCCCTCGACCCTGGAGTTACTTTTTATTAATTCATCCTTCAGTCCCTTGGTTCTGCAAGTGGGGGCTAGGCACAAACCACACAAGCTTCACTATGGGGGAGAGGGATGGCTGT